TTTAGATAGACTGATGGATAGAATGACAGATATTTAATACAGCAATTACTGTAAAATGTCAACTGAAGATTCAAGGTGGTGGATGTTTGCTGTAAAATTCTTTCAACTTTTTATCATGAAAAATTTCTAATATACAGTAAAGTTGAAAACAATTAGAAAAGGTTTTTTTCCTTAGGAAAAAATATTCTTCACCTCTGCCTTCTTATTACTAGGAAATGACTATGATTTAAGATTTTAAAAAGAAGAAAACACCACAGTTTTGAAAAATATTTTTTTAAAAAAGAATACTATTATGCTATGTAAGACAGAAATAGAAATGGATGGCAAAGGTCAAGATCTTGCCAAATGATTTGGTTTTGAAAATGGTACAGAACAACCAGCTGACCCATTTCTCAGGATTTCTAAGTTCACAAGTCAAATTCTGTCTGTGTAATTTCTGCTTCAAAACTATAGAACAACTTAGGCTTGTGGTCACTATTGAATTAGCTCTTTCACAAGTTACCAGGGGCTGAGAAGGGTGTGTGTGCCAAGGGAGGGGGAGGCATGAAAAGAGGTTAGTTAATGAGTACAAACATACACTCAGGTGGAAAGAATAAGTTCTAGTGTCTTATAGCACAGTAGGGTGACTATAATTAACAATATATTGTACATTTCAAAATAGCTAGAAGATCTGAAATGCTCCCAACACAAAAAAATGATGTTTGTGATGACAGATATACTAAATACCCTGATTTGATCATTACACATTGTACGCATGTATCAAAATATCACATGTACCCCATAAACATGTAAGATTATTATATATCAATAAAAAATTCCTTTCTTAAATATTTTTAAAACGTTTGGACTTACTATCCATTTCTAATTTCATAATGTAATGTAAAGAATTCAACAAATAACTTTGTTAAAAACATCATGTCATTTTTTCATGCTACTTTCTACGTAAGAATCACTGAAATCAACTGGACAAGAGTAAGTTTCAGAGACATAGCTGACACATAACATTGCAGCTTTTATCAGCCTGGGCGAGGAGTGCCTAATTACTTCACTGTATCACCTACTGTACCCTTGAGGATGAGAACTGTGCCCTATATGCCATTGTGTCTCCAGCGACACTAGATTCTGCCTTCTTGTCTATTTGTAGTAGGTACTGAATAAATACTGCTTGAAAAGTATCTTCGACGTTACTTTTAACATAGTCATTGAAACCCTGTATTTGTAATCATCATCAACAACAAAAAATCAAAACAAGGAATGGAGGGGCTGGGTGTGGATTTTCTACCCCTACCCTGCCCAGCTTCCATCAGAATGGTTCATGTTTATCTATTTTAAATATATGGCTTCCAAGTATAATTTCGCTGAGTTCCCCAGCCAAAAAAATTGTTTTAAACCACTGACATGATCATAACCTAAGGGATTTCTCTGGACGAAAAGACCAAAACATTCTTGGTTATCATTACAATGGGGATTGGAAAAAGCAGAATAGATTTATATTCATTTAGCTTTTCATCAGTTATTCTCAGAATTTAGATCACCATTTGATTCATTTAGCTTTCAGATAAATTAAGGGTAACTGTGCTGTACTGAGACAAAATACTCCTGTTAGGACCTGATGGAGTAAGATTCCCACTCCTTGGGTATAAATTGAGTTTACATGAAAGTGCCATCAAAAAACACTCACTGGTAGGGGGTGGGAGTGGGGGGTATCTAAAATCAAGAAGAAACCTGTTCTAGATATTCTTTTCACCAGATTATCTGTCCACTTTGGAGCTGCACACCTTGGAGTTTCTGAGTTTAATTTTTAGTAACAAAGGGGGCTTTTTCTAATTCATGAAACTCCACTTCTACTGCTGCTCCTAATTCTATCATGTCTTTAATGAAGAAAGAGGAAGATAACTAAAATTAAAGAAGAGAATGGGAAGTTTATGAGGTCAAGACAGATAACCTAAGAAGAAGAGTAATACCAAGAATGGCAGTCAGACCTTTTCACTTATTCCTGGGCTGGAAAGGGCACAACTCTGCCCTCATATTACAATTATTATGCTCTGTAAATAATGGAATGAAGTATATTTACCAATATTTTGTCCAATCTCCTCTCTTAGACTAGCAGAAGCCCAGAGTGCATAGACTTAAGGGAGAGCCTAAGAAGATAGAGAGGGTATGAGGAATTGGGTGTGACTGGCTTGGCTCACAGACCACAAAACATGGAGCCAAGAGTCATCTGATGGTTGGTGGCAGGAAACAAAATCAAAACAGAAAGCCATCTGATATGTCAATCTGAATGATCTAAGGAGGAAGCAGAATCCAGATAGGAAGGCAAAAAAGAAATCAAAGAAAGCAGAATTAAGTGGAAAAGGCTTAGATAGGAAGGAAAGACTCTTTAAACCCCAGGGACTTTATTGAATGCCTACAATGCACAGTATTAAGCATCTTCCCCACAATACCACCACAAAGAAGGCTTTGTTATCCCTATTTTACAAACAAGAAAAATGAGGTTCAAGTAAATTGATTAATTTGCCAAGATCACATAACCAGACATTGGGAAACAGGGATACGTCTCCAAAGAAGTATCTGTTTTTATCATACTATATTCCTTCTATGAGGTACGATGCTGATCTCTTAGTGGTTTTATAGAAGTCACAAATTCATTTCTGCACCATGGTATCTGCTTATCTTTCCCACAAGTTTCCTCATTAGGGTCATTTTAGTAACACAAAATCACAATAGAGTTCTTACGTTGCATTTTGACTAATGCACAAACAACAAATGGGCAGAGACTGCAGGCATGTGAATGACTCTTCTATTCTGCAACATTTCCAGGGTCAGAAATCATGCAACTGTAGTCCACATAGATCTGAGTTCCAATATTACATCATATTTCATTTTATCTCATGTGGATATTCCTGGTCTTTTTGAGAATACCTGAAAGTTCTCTTCTGAGGGTGGTTAGTTACCATGGAAATGAGGCTACTGTGGTTCAGAATAAATTTACATAACTATTAGTTAATTATTTCAAGCTTGTAAAATGTGGAATTTTTCTGAAAGCTAACATGACCACTGATGCAATCAAACTGCAAACCAATCGAAAATGATTCAGGCCTCAATATAGGATTATAAAACAACTGCAAAGAATTTTCTAATTTACAGTAATACCTTTAAAAATGTAAAGTTTGTAAGGTGAAATTTTAAAATACCCTGAATACAGATAACATACTATAAGAATGTATTATAATCTACTGTCCAACATGTTATCCAGAGGTAGGGAGAATATGTTCTTAAGTCCTCAGTTGTTATCAAACTTGTAGTATCAGGCACTATATTAGGTGCTAAGTATCTAAAGGTTGGTAAGACCCAGTCCTGTCCTGAAGAAACTCAGTCTGGTAGATAGATACACAAACTGGAAAATGAAAATGTGACAGGTAAAACAAGAAATATATGTACAAGGTATATGTGCACAATTAAATAGCACCTAATGGAAGTAGGGAAAGGATGGGTAGGAGGGATGGGAATAAGCAGGAGTCAGTCCCGGGGGCTTCTGAGAAAAGCCAGGCAAGGGGGTAGAAGGAAGAAAATTCTAGGTAGAAGGGACAGTGCAAGCAAAAGAACTGCATGGTGTTTATAAGCAGCTTGGTGTTGCCCTTGAAATTAAATTACCTTGAGAAGCAATAACAATCATGGACTCATCAGACTCAGACTCCAGTTATCTCTTTGCTTGGTGCTTAGAAGAAAAACGACTCTCTCAAGATAAATAAACATTGGGTATTCTGAAAATTATAGGGAGAAGGCCTCAAAAAGAAGATATATAAGGCTTCCTGCTAATTGGTTTGAGGTGATTTTTTAAAAGAAAGTCAAAGGATCTGACACAAATCATAACTCTTACATGTTGTTTTGGGACATTATTTTTCCTCATTTAATATACTCAAAGTATTTTATCTTGTCACTTAATAGTCTTCTAAAACATGATTTTTGTTGAATGCATAGTACTCTGATATATAAACCGACCATAATTCATTTAACTGATTGCTTATTGTTGGCCAGTTAAGTGGCTTATAATTTTTTCCATTAAATATATATCATTGCAATGGACATTTCCATGCATAAATCTTTGCACACATCCCTGATTATTTCATTTAAACAAATTATTAGAAGTAGAATTGCTGGTCAGAGGATGCATAGGTTTTAAGGCTTTTGATAAGATTACCAAGCTGCCCTCAAAAAGGTCACGTCGATTTGCACTACTACCAGCACTGTATGAGAATCCCCATTTTACAGTAATTTTGCCAAGAGTGGGTTATTATTTTTAATTTCTACTAGTAGGAAAAAAAAAGGCTACTTCAATCTGTATTTCTTATGCCATTAGTGAGATCGCACTATTTCCAGATCAATTAGCCATTTTCATCTCATTTTTGTAAACAAACTACTTTATGTTTTTCCCTTTTCAACTGAGGTATTCCTCTTGTTCTTGTTAATTTATAAATACCATTTATACATACTGCAGTTTATTTTTCCAAGTTTTAATTAAATAATTTTCTTTAATCACATTTGCCACTCTGTGGAGAATGGATTTGAGTAGAGAACAGGTTAGAACTAGAGAATCAGTCAGCATACTTGTAAGGCTGGTGGCGGGCACCCCTCCCCTTCCTAAAGGAAAAAGAGTAACCACACCTGAATGTTCACCCAGATAAGAAAAGTTTCGGCTCCTGGAATCCACGCATACCACCGGCCCCTCCTACTTCTCAATACCCATCCTAAAACTCTTCGCTCCAGATAAACCCCCATCCCCCAACTCTAAAACATATATAAGCCCACTCAAAACTTCTAGGCGGTGCGACTTCTCTGGCCCCTCTCTTGGGACCAGTGAACTTCGCCTGGGAGCGCTCAATAAAGCCACGCTGTTTGCCCCCCGCTCCTACTCTGTCTTTTTCCTCGCTGCTAAAAAACTTTACATTTGGTGCTGAAACCCGGGAAGGGTATTTTGGCTACACCACCCCTTCGCGCACTCTCGCATTCTGGACCAGGACCTCCGCTGACTGCCTTCGAGTCCCTGATTGACGACCTCGGCCTGGGTGAGTCACCCTATGTTGTCCCAACCCGGATCCCCCGCTGGGAGCCTCTCTTCTCTGGGATACTGTTCCCTGTCCATTAAACCGTGGGCCCACGTCGGAGGCTCTCCCGTTCCAGGGGTTGAGGCTATTCGGGGACGCCTGAATTCCTCTCACCCCTTTCCGTTCCAGCACACTAGTCTCGGCGGAGACATCCCCCAGACTTTTGTTGCCTCCACAGTCAGGATACTGTTCCTGTCCGCTTCCCCGTTCGGGTTGGGGCGACATGGGTAGCCAATCTTCTAAAATTCCCCGCGAGACGCCCCTGGGGTGTCTACTGGCCAATTTAAAGGCCCCGGGCTTAGACATCCAGCCCAAGTGCCTCATTTTTTACTGCAATACTGCCTGGCCAACGTATACATTGGACAATGACTCTCAATGGCCTGAAAATGGGACTTTCGATTTCAATGTCTTACAAGACTTTGACAATTTTTGTCACAGGAACGGCAAATGGTCAGAGATCCCATATGTCTAAGCCTTTTTCTGTTCGCGCTCCCGTTATCTATTTTTTTTTCTCTCTCTCTCCCTGACACCATCCTCTCATCACCCAGCACCATCTCTTCCTGTCTCTCCAGATGCCTCCTCAGCTCTCTCTGTTTCCCTTAACTCCCGTGAGGTCTCCCCTACAGGGCCCCCGCCGTATCCAGGCTATCTGCACCCTCCAGGCTTTCTTCTACTTGTGCTCCCGCCCCTCCCTCTGTCAGACCTGTAACCCTGCGCAGGTCCTCCTGGTTCACAACTCTCTCTCTCTCTCCCTCCCCACCACCCCTCTCAGACCTCTCTCCAGCAGCCTCCACCTCAGCCTTCTCAGATTCCCCAGATTCTCTCAGCCACCCTCCTGTTAGACCCCCGCCTTACTCTGGCCACTCTCTGTCTGAGTCCTCTGCCCAACAGACGCTCTCATCCAATATACTCGCCTAGACCCTACCTCCCCCACAGGGGCTACTGTCCTTGCGACCCACTTTATTACCCAGTCATCTCCTGATATCAGAAAGAAACTCAAAAAGGCAGAGGAGGGCCCTCAGACCCCTATCTGAGACCTGGTGAACATGGCATTTAAAATCTCTAATTCCCAAGATGAACAGGCAGAGACCCAAAAGGAGGCCGGTGTCCGCCAAAAGGCACACCTGCAAGCCCAAGCCTTGGTTGCAGCCCTGCAGCCGGCAGGACCCAATAAGCCATCAACCTTGCCTAAGGTGACCAGCTGCACTCCACCAAGCACCTGCTTCAAGTGCGGTAAGGAAGGCCACTGGGCCAAGTGGTGCCCGCAGCCACGTCCACCCACCAAGCCTTGCCCGGCATGTGGTCAAGAGGGACACTGGAAAAGTGACTGCCCCTCGGGACAGAAGTCCGGAGAACCAGTCCTTCCAGCTCTAGACCTGGCAATGGCAGTTTGGGGTCTGGCTGCCGAAGACTGAGGAGGCCCCGACTCGGCGACCCCGATCACCCTCGCCAAGGCCAGGGTAACAGTCAAGGTAGTGGGTAAGGCAGTGTCCTTTCTGGTTGACACGGGGGCTACCTACTCTGTCTTGCCTTATTTTTCAGGCCCTACTTATCCTTCCCAGGTGTCAGTCATGGGTATTGATGGCAATTCCTCTCAGCCCTCCACCACTGGTCCCCTAACCTGCCTAATAGATGGCCTCCCCATCACCCATTCCTTCCTTATCATGTCCTCCTGTCCCACTCCACTATTGGGAAAGGACTTATTAACCAAACTGGGCACCACCCTTGCAGAGCCCAGGGGTTCCTCCAGCGCCGACTACAGGAGCTATCTCGAGTGGCAGTAAACCAACTACTTCTTCATCCATACTCTCCCCTACCAGTCACCTCTCCACCAGCCGACTCCGGCCCATAGCCCTTGACTACGTCCCCTCACAGCAGGAAGTGGTCAGAAAAAGCGGCACCCATCATAACCAAAAGGCCAGAATGTAAGGCTGGTGGCGAGCACCCCTCCCCTCCCTAAAGAAGAAAGATTAACCACACCTGAATGTTCACCCAGATAAGAAAAGTTTCAGCTCCTGGAATCCATGCATACCACCGGCCCCTCCTACTTCTCAATACCCATCCTAAAACTCTTCGTGCCAGAAAATCCTCCATTCCCCAACTCTAAAACATACATAAGCCAGCATGAAACTTCCGGGCGGCACGACTTCTCTGGCCCCTCTCTCGGGACCAGCGAACCTCGCCAGGGAGCACTGTATAAAGCCACGTTGTTTGGCCCCCCACTCTGTCTGTCTTTCTCCTGGCCGCTAAAAAACTTTACCATACTGTCCCTCCATAAATTAATATTACTACATTAGAGACAGAAATGGTCTTAGAAGTTTTGCAGGGTTCTGCCCTGAAAGAATATGTGAACGTGTTAGTTTGCATATCAAAAGCTGCTCCACCTCAGGAGGGCATCTCAAAGATCAGTAGCAGCTGCTTTCCAAGGTGACGCTGTGGTCTTAACCCCGTGGTTCTCACCTGCTTTGAAGGACAAAGCAAGGTCTACATGGAATCACGGGATGAGAACTGATCAAAGAGTGTCTGCCCAGAGACAGATACCTGCAACTAAAAACAATTAGCCCAAGGGAAAGTTCCTGCTTGACTTCTGATGACCCGTCTCTAACTGCAATAACTAGATAAAGAAATATGGAGACACTGTATCTCTGTTTAACCCTTCTGTTAAGTAATACCTTTATCTTAGAACTTAGAAGTTTGTCCTTGAAAGTTTTTGTAGCCAGAGTTAGTTAAGGGATCTACAGAAGCCTTTTCAAAGACTTTTAACTCAAAATGAACTACCTGTTATTATGTAAATCTGTTACCCCTGGCAGCCATCTCTGTGCCCATGTGAAACTTTTTTCTGGGCCTTATGATTCACGGGGATATTGCAGGGACCCCTGAGTACCCCGCTTTGCCTTTTATCTTTATAAATCTATAAAACTATACCTTCGTCTCTGTGTATTCTGTTATTTCTATTATTTTCCATTTTCTATTATTTTCTTATCCTTTGCAGCGACCCCTACCTAAGGGACCTGATTTTTTGCTGGGAGCGTAGCTAACTCCCTGAAGCATACTGCTTGAGTAATCTAGGAAAGAGATTAACTGGACTTTAATCAGAGGAATAAAAGCAAAGAGAAAGAGAACCCAATGAATTGAATGTGGGAAGAAATAAAAAAGATTGAAATGATCAAGAATGATTCCCAGGCTTCTAGCACAGGTGAAAAGGTCGACAGTGTTACCAATGAGATACAGAAAATTAAAGGAGAAAAAGATTTTGAGGGAAAAATGTTAGGTTCAATTTTGTACATGTAAATTTTGAGATATCTGTGGGACATCCAATTGAAAATGCCCGAAGTTCTGCAAGGAGTCTGGTCTGAGAATTTGGGAGTTACTGTTATGCAAATTATATCTGAAAACAGGAGCATGGTTGAGTATGAAAAGTAGTAGGCTGAAGACATAACTTTGTAGAATACTAATACTTTAATGGGCAAGTGGAAGAAAAGACGCCCATGGGCAGGGAAGGCAGGGGGACCAAAAGGGATGAATAGAGAAATGAAAAGAGAAATAGGGTGAAACATGTTATCAAGTCAAAGTAGTGGAACATGTTATGGAGCTGGGATTAAAGATGAAGGGATTCAATGTACAGTCTTGAATCATAACAGAAAATAAGGTATGAGAGTTTTTAAGTAGTGATGGCAGACATATGGAGGGAAGCTCATCTTTAATGGTTTCAGTATTTTTTTTTAAAAGTTTTATATTGGCTTATGGAAGGCCTCAAAAGGTCAAGAACAGGAACTAATAAAAATGATCAAGCACTGTTTGGAAACATACATGCATAGGAAGGTGACAGTTATGACCTTAATTATGTAAGTAAAGGTAATGGTTCATCTGCCTCCAGCATAACCTTTCAGAAGATGATTTTTTTAAAAAACATTCCAGTTTCATTAACACCAGAAGTCTATGAAAAACAAAGGAAAATATGAGCAATAAAGTAAACCACAAACATCAAATCACTGTAGTTGCCACATTTAACAATTTCAATAGAAGTTTCACTCATTCATTCAATAATTACTTGTTAATCATGTACTATGATAAAAAATGATTAAGACCAGTCCCTGTCGCTAAGGATCCCAGTCTAGTAGTAGTGGGAAAAGACATATAAACAAATCAGTGAGAAATACTACCGGTAAAAAAACAAATTATTTTAAGAGAGCACTTACGCCAGAGGGTGAGGGAATGGTTAAGAAAAGCTTCACAGAGGGGTCAGGTAAACTAATCTTGAAGGTCTATCAGGAAATTATAGCTGGGGGTGAGAAGATACAGGGCACATTGCTGTCAAACTGCATAGTATGTTCAGGAAACTATATGTAATTTGGTAAAGGTGACTCCATTTCCATCCTGGGTTTAGGTAGAAAGTGCCAGGAGTTTGTTTAATCTTTTTAACAACCCATTTGACTGATAAAAGAAACAAAGATACAGGTGAATTAAATAACTTGGCCAAGTTCATACAGCTAAGTGACAGAGCTGAGACTGGAATCCAGGCACTGTGTTGAAACTGTGCTCAATCACTTCCCTATGGCGCCTCTCCAGGTAACACTGAAAAAGGGGACAATGAAGGGTCTGGATGTACTTTGTGCATATGCCATAAGCAATGTGCTTTTTATCCTAAAGCCGAGAGAACCGAGAGTTCTAATAAATGACAGCAATATGTTGTGACTGATCATGAGGAGAAGGGAAGTGAAGTCACGAAGAAGACTGAGAGAAAAGGGGAGATTAATGTCTCCATGCGGCTAGAGGTAGAAAAGTAAGAGAAGTAGAATGACATTCGGCTGTGGCTTCAAGAAAGACAATGAAGTTTAAAACTTTAATGGTAGATTAGTTACGGATATTGACAATGTCAAGGGGGTGGCCAATTTAGAATTTATCAATTTGTTCCACAAAAATACAAATGGAAAAATTTCCTTTTTGGTGGGGGAGAGGAGGTGTGTATCACAGACTATTACGACTGCTTTAAGAGAAAAGGAAAAAATTCCTGTTTAAAAAAAAAACCTCATGACCCATTTTAGTGTTATCAACAATCTGAGATGACAGGAAATACATGATGGGCTAATTCACGTCACGGCATGTGCAGAAATCCCAGGAGTTAATGATGAGATAATAAATGTGAAATATTTAACAGATGAAGAATGAACTTACAACCTTTTCTGCATTAACACTCACTGTGGCATTTCCTATAGCCATAACTTCTTAAAAAATAACAGAAGTCAGACAGGTATGACTGTATTTATACATATCTCTGACTGTATCTCATAAACTAC